GAGACAGAGCGAGAGAAAAGTGACACATAACTGTATTCAGTCATAATAATGAAAACATTCAATCAAACAAAACTGGTTATGCATATTAAGAAACTTGATAAAAATCTTTTGCATTATCAACAGGTTGACCCGATATCATTGAGGGCAAAAGCAGAATGATGCAATGAAACATAAAGTGTGAGCAAAAGTTGAAATAGAGGCAGCAAATCTAATCCATCAGGAGTAGGGTAGGGTCTTGTGTATCGGTGTGAAAATAGAAAACAAGATTTGGAAAAACAGTTGGAATTCTTGTATTTCAGTGTATATTCACACTTTACTCGTGATTCAGCCAGGTTCACCTGTCGAAAGCAAGGTTTTCAGATCTTTTTCAATGTGATTTACATAACTTTAGTATACATGTTTTTTTATATGAAAAATGTTAATACTGATAGTTTATTCAATGGGTGTATAATGCAACAGACATTAATAAAATAAAATAAATCGGAGCTCGGAAAGAAAACAGCTGAATGATTAATTACTTTTGTGTAGCTACAAATTTACCCATAGTTGGTAGCTCTGCCTGGTATTTTTAACTTAAATGGTTAAAAATGAGATTTTCTTAGCTCCTTAGAATATAATCCTTCGGCCTTATGGGGATTTAGTGACTTCCAGTAAAAAAAAACCATTTTCACTTTATCCTGCCGAGCTCAACATTACCTTTTCATCATTGCTGAAACCCTTGGTAAAATTTGCTTATAATTACGATTTACCATGCATACTTTACTATGGCCACTATAGGTTCTAATTATATAAAACAAATTTCTAATTACTATGGAAATATCTTTGATTTTTTTTGGAAGAATTTCATTTAGATTTTGATCTAGTGATTTCAGTCTTTGTTGCTTTATAACTTTCTGAGTGTAAATGGAAAAGATGAAACTGAGTAATTCAACTTGTGATCAGCTCAAAGGAATGTACTTTACATTGGAAGCAGGGAAGTCATTACATTTACTTTTTACAGTGAATATTGGTACCGTATGTTTAGAAAACTTTGTGCTAATGGAAGTGTTTGATATACAGTCATTCAGAAATAGAGCTGGTTTGTCGAGGTACATTCAAATAATTTTAATAAGTAAACAGCAGTTTGTATTTTAATATTCATCCAGAAAAGAGCTAATAATAAAAACACGCATACTGATTGTAAAACTGTTCGATTTGTCAGATTTGGCAGCAGTATTTTTTCGTGAAAAGACAAACGGGAAAGGAAGTAATTAGATGTTGCTGTAGTGTTAAAAATCAGCTGAGCCACAACTACGTTGCTGTAGTGTTAAGAATCAGCTGAGCCTCAACTACGTTGCTGTAGTGTTAAGAATCAGCTGAGCCTCAACTACGTTGCTGTAGTGTTAAGAATCAGCTGAGCCACAACTACGTTGCTGTAGTGTTAAGAATCAGCTGAGCCACAACTACGTTTCTCCAGTGTGTTAAGAATTGGCTGCACATATAGGCCTTCTTGTTACAGTTAGTAGTAGAAATAAGACCCCAACATCATGTGTAACAGTTAAAAAGCTAGTGGAAAAAAAAACGCTAAAGTAAATGAAACAAAGAATAATTTAAAGTTTTTTTTTTCTTCTTGAGATTAACAAATATCACTCCTGAATTTTGATACTTGCAATTTACTTTTGACAGGAATTGATAACATACATAACATCAATCACAAATATAAAAAAGCAAAACAAACAAACATGTATTTAACGGTTCTCAGAACCCAGTGTGTACGTGTGTTCTAGTGGTAAATAAAAGTTTCATATTTCTCCTTGGCTCATAAAGGTTGATAATTCAGTTGTAGAAATAAAAAATTTTACTTTGCTAGTTTACAGTGTAACTGATCAAGCTTTTAAAGTGACATACTTCTGCCAGAGCATGTAGACAGTAAAGATGGCCTCATTCTAACTAAGCATAAATAAAAAAAATTAGTCTGTGAGGTCAGTAGACTGTACAAGTTATTAAACCATTACCAGCTTAGTTAATTGTTTTTCTTTTTTATCGTATCAACAGTTATTGAGTGTTTTGTTTCTGGTATATTTTCTCTATCTTTTCCTTTAGTATGTGATTTTATTTTTTATTTTCTCAGGTTTAATATGAGTGTAAATAAGCAGTTCCAATGAAATTTAAATA